ATCCTGCGTTTTGGTGCTTTGGAAATTTCTTTTTAATTCTAGATTGCTTCTCTCCTTGGTTAGTTTCCATCCGTTGCTTCTTGTCCTGCCTTCAGGTGCTTTTGGAGAATAGCTTGACTGCCTCTTCTTTGGGGCAGCCCCCGAGATATTGGAACGCTGCTATCATGTCCCCCCTCGACCTTCTTTTCTATTAAACTAGACACACCCAATTCCAGCAACCGTTCTTCATATGTTTTAGCCGCCATCCCCCTGATCCTCTTTTTTGCTCTTCTCTGAACTGTTGCTCTTCTCTGCATCGATGGGAAACTAGGTCACTTCTTCAATATATCGATTGGCTAAGAGAGATGTGTGTGCAGGCTTGCTTATTATATGCCTGGTGCTCCTAAATCTCAACAAGGATGTGTAAAATGATGCCTTCAAAACCTTGTATCTACAAAATATCCTGAACGGTTCCATTTCAAGGGCAAAACTCTTTGTTTGCAGGTCTAAAAAAAATAGACCATTTTGCACATCGTGGAAACGATTCAAATAAGCTTTTATTTGGACTGTTTCCCCAATTGCTTCAAGCAGTCCATTTGATGCTCACGTCAAGACAGATTTGCCTGTAAACCAAGGCGTTTGGCAGGATTAGCGTGATCCACCAGGTTTGGCATGAAGAATATTTCAGGGTAAATTATTTTGTGCACTCCTGTTTTCAGTGCTTTTTTTTTTCTAAAAAAAAAAAAAAGGTGCCGGAATTCACACACGTCATACAACCCGCCTTGCCTACCCTACAAGGTTCCATCCAAAAAAGGTGCCGGAACTCTGTTCTGGGCGTTCTATGAGGAAAAAAAGCTCTGCCTGTTTTCATTAACAACACCTCTACCAGTGTTTCTCAACTTTGACAATTTTGAGGCATGTGGACTTCAACTCCCAGAATCCCACAGCCAGCATTGCTGGCTGTGGAATTCTGGGTGTTGAAGTCCACATGCCTTAAAATTGTCAAGGTTGAGAAACACTGCTCTAGACTATGCAAAAGAGACCATCACACAGCCCAAAAAAGAACAAAAAGACCCAAACACCTCTCCACCAGCAATCAGCACCCAGATCAGCATAGATTAACTCAGAGGTTAACATCAGACCATCAGTCAAGAAGTAAACAATACTCCAAACCAGGATCTGCCAAACAAGCCAAGAGTAAACAGCCCAACCAAAGAATCTCTAAGACCAACCCCACCAACATTGACAGAGCAAGCCCCTAGAATATAAAATGAGAGCAATCCCCATTAGCAGTGATGATGTTACCTAGTTACCTAGAGCAACCTTGGCTCTTTTATGACTCGTGGACTTCCACTCCCAGAATTCCTGAGCCAGCATGGGGGAACTATGGCCCCTTCATGACTAGTGGACTTCAACTCCCAGAATTCCTGAGCCAGCCATGCTGAGGGGAAAGGGAGAGGTTTCCAAGCTGAGCCAGGCTGACTCAGGAATTCTGGGAGTTGAAGTCCACAAGTCATAAAAGAGCCAAGGTTGCCTACCCCTGGCCTAGAGCAATAAGGACCCCACAGTTGTTGTTGTCGAAGTCCTCCTCCTCCTCTTCCTCCACCACCACCGCCACCACCACCATAAAACCTTTTATAAAACTGATGATGTTACCTAGTTGGGTCATGAAATGTCTGCCAAAAAATGAGGAAGCTTACAGAGCAATAAAGACCCCATAGTTCTCCTCCTCCTCCTCCTCCTCCTCCTCCTCCTCCTCCTCCTCCTCCTCCTCCTCCTCCTCCTCCTCCTCCTCCTCCTCCTCCTCCTCCTCCCCTCCTCCTCCAACTGCACTCCTACTAGCACGGATGATGTTACCTTGTTAGTCATGAAATATCTGCAACAAAACAACCAAGTTCAAAGAGTACCAGTCCTCCTCCTCCTCCTCCTCCTCCTCCTCCTCCTCCTCCTCCTCCTCCTCCTCCTCCTCTCCACAAGCCTACTCCTTCTCTTTCTCCTCCTTCTCCTTCTCTTCCTCCTTCTCCTCCTCCAATCCACAAGCCTACTCCTTCTCTTTCTCCTCCTTCTCCTCCTTCTCCTTCTCCTTCTCCTCCTCCATCAAAAACTCTGATTCGTTTTGTTCACCAACGTGCTACCCAAAGCGTGTTAACCCCTTGATAGGCCTTCTGGTTTCCATATTCATCTCCATCTTCAGTGTAAAGAGAAGGGACTTGTTACTCCTTCAGTCATCTAACAACATCTTGTCCAATAATTCTAGGCATTGGGTCTGGGATCACCATTCAGGCAACTTTATTGACAACCCTGTGTCGTGACGCATGTGTGGTGGGTATATACACCAAGATGCCCTCTCGGGCGAAGAAGGGAACAGAATGTGCTTCTCTAATCTTTCCACGGTGTTGTAAGCAGGATACAGAACACAGGGTCTGAAATCTTAATCAAATCTTATTCACCGATAATGAGCATTTGTTTGATGAGAGCGCAAACAAGGGAAGAGTTGGCCCTGGAGGGTCCTCAAGGTGCTTCATAAACATCTGCCAAATGGAAATCAATTTCAGAACAAACCTATCTGCGAAAATAAAACCACAAAGGCACATTGAGATGTTTGATTGTGGCATTATCCCAAACAGATTTTCATTGTAAAATTATTTTTTATTATCAGTTCTGTTTTGGAAGAAGATAGGATAGGATAGGATAGGATAGGATAGGATAGGATAGGATAGGATAGGATAAATAAGATTAAGATAAGATAAGATAAGATAAGATAAGATAAGATAAGATAAGATAAGATAACCTTTATTGTCATTTTTTTACCGTAGGCACAATGACACACATCAAAAATGAAACCTAGTTGCCGCTCTCAAAGTGAACACATACATGACACACACCTAAATATTCTATATACAACATATGTATAGACCAGGGGTAGGCAACCTTGGCTCTCTTATGACTTGTGGACTTCAACTCCCAGAATTCCTGAGCCAGCATGGCTCAGCTTAGAAACCTCATCCTTTCCCCTCAGCATGGCTGGCTCAGGAATTCTGGGAGTTGAAGTCCACAAGTAATAAGAGAGCCAAGGTGGCCTACCCCTGGTATAGGGTTCCCTGCTTGAGTAGGGGGTTGGACTAGAACAGGGGTAGGCCACCTTGGCTCTTTGATGACTGGTGGACTTCAGCTCCCAGAATTCCTGAGCCAGCCATGCTGAGGGGAAGGGAGAGGTTTCCAAGCTGAGAGGAATTCTGGGCGTTGAAGTCCACAAGTCATGAAGGGGCCAAAGTTTCCCTCATGCTCGCTCGGGAATTCTGGGAGTTGAAGTCCACGAGTAATAAAAGAGCCAAGGTTGCCTACCTCTGGCCTAGGCCACTTTATGACTCGTGGACTTCAACTCCCAGAATTCCTGAGCCAGCCTGGCTCAGCTTGGAAACCTCTCCATTTCTCCTCAGCATGGCTGGCTCAGGAATTCTGGGAGTTGAAGTCCACCAGTCATAAAAGAGCCATGGTTGCCTACTCCTGGTATAGACCTATATCCCTACATATATATAATATATGAATATTAAACACTGTCCATCTTGAATGTATAATGGAAGGAGGAAGCTTGAGAGTTCACAAGGTTTATACTGTAAACTGTCCTTACCTGTCCTCCTTACATATTTCACCCTGCTCATTTTAAATTGAAGCTTATTGGCCTAAGGTCAACCAGAAATGTTGTGAGCTGGGAGATTCAGATCTGACTTCTTCCAATCCTGTTCTGGGTTTCTAATCAACAGTGTCTCCTGTTCGTTTCCTAAATGCCTAAAGAGATAAAGGAGTCCAATCCTTAAGGCAGAGGTGGGGAACGATGGCCGCTTTATGACTGGTGGACTTCAACTCCCAGAATTCCTGAGCCAGCCGTGGTGGCTCGGGAATTCTGGGAGTTGAAGTCCGCCAGTCATGAAGAGGCCATCGTTCCCCACCTCTGCCTTAAGGGACTATTCCCCAGGAGAAAGGGACCTACAGAAGAATTGTCCATGGTTGGACATGTGTCCAACTTTCTCAGTAGACATCCTAGATACAGAAGAGTAGTTGGAATAAAGCTGGAATAAAGTGCTATCAGTTTTATTGAGATATCCTCACCATCTGTCTTGACTAAGTCCTCAGATTAGTAAATATTGATCTGGAAAAAATAGAGAAGTTGAGAGAGAGAGAGAGTGTTTGGTGTAGTGGTTAAGGTGCTTGCCTGGAAACCAGGAGACGGTGAGTTCTGGTTCCGCCTCTGGCAGGAAAGCCCAGTGAGATGTCTTTGGCCCAATCACCAGGAGACTGAGAGTTCTAGTTCTGCCTTAGGCAGGAAAACCCAGTGAGATGACTTTGGCCCAATCACCAGGAGACTGGGAGTTCTAGTTCTGCCTTAGGCAGGAAAGCCCAGTGAGATGTCTTTGGCCCAATCACCAGGAGACTGGGAGTTCTAGTTCCGCCTTAGGCAGGAAAGCCCAGTGAGATGTCTTTGGCCCAATCACCAGGAGACTGAGAGTTCTAGTTCTGCCTTAGGCAGGAAAACCCAGTGAGATGACTTTGGCCCAATCACCAGGAGACTGGGAGTTCTAGTTCCGCCTTAGGCAGGAAAGCCCAGTGAGATGTCTTTGGCCCAATCACCAGGAGACTGAGAGTTCTAGTTCCGCCTTAGGCAGGAAAGCCCAGTGAGATGACTTTGGCCCAATCACCAGGAGACGGATTTTTGTGGGAATATTAGGAGAGGGAAGGTGTATTAGGCACGTTCGACACTCTGAGTTTCTTCGGTAGTAATAAAGGTTGAATGAGAAATCTAATAAATAAATAAACACACCGATAAATAAACAAGCACTGGCCTCCAGAGATGGATGGGGCGTCCAGTTCCCCTTTTGAAGATTGACAGTACCCAAGGCACTCAGTGGTCATCTAAGGAATTAAGGGGCTCGGCTTTCTTGTGTTTTATCTCTGTATGAGATGTTGAGGTGCCAATTGTGTTTGTTCATATCTCTTTCTATCTGTGTGTGTTTCTTTCACAGCAAGAACGACTCCAGCTTGACCGGCTGAAGAATCAACTTTCCGATGCCATTCAACGATATGGAACAATACAAAAGGTAGGAGAGACAAGGAAGGACCCCGGAATGGGGAGAGGTCCATTGCCTGTTCTTTTCTTTTTTCTTTTCTTTTCTTTCTTTCCCTTCCTCATCTTCATTTCTTTCATTCCTCCCTCCCTCCCTTCCCTCCCTCCTTCCCTCCCTCCCATACCTTTATTTCCTTCCTTCCATCCCTCTCACCCACACACTTCCTTCCTCCCTCCCTTCCTGTCTCCCTCCCTCCCTCCCATACCTTCATTTCCTTCCTTCCCTGTGTCTCACCCACACACTTCCTCCCTCCCTCCCTCCCTCCCTCCCTCCCTCCCTCCCTCCATACTTTCCAGCTGGGGAGAAAGCCTGCGCTTCACGCTATTTGGGGAATGTGATTTATGACTGTTAATTGGAGGAGGGAATTGTGCTTTGATACACAAGGGGAGGGGAATTCAGTTTTTGGCTTTGATTATGCAGTGCCGATATTATGCTACTCGAATAAAAGATTCTTTAAGGTAAACAATGCCTCGAAGTTCTTTTGAAGAGTTTCATCTGTCGGAACCACGACACATAAGCTAAGACAACTCCTTGCTATACTCTTAGTGCTCTTCCGTTGTTGTTGTTGTTGTTATTATTATTATTTCTTTTATTTCTTTTATTCATTAAACATGAACCTCAGACAGCTGAACATTCAAATTGGCTGGTGCTGATGGTTGACATGGGTTGCTACCAGCATTCTAGATGTCAACCAGGTATCTCCTTAAAATATAAGATGTTCCGAGTAGCACAGTTTTTTGTAACATTGCTAGAGTTATTGCAGGAAGCTGCAGTTTCTTGATGTATTTTGCAAAGTTTTTGGACATAGTTCCCAGTGCCCCGATGACAATGGGTACCCCTGTTACACATTTCATCCATAATTGTGCAGTTTCGATGGCCAGGTTGCGGTATTTTGTAATTTTTTTTCCAGTTCTTTTTCTTTGACTCTGGCATCTCCTGGTACAGCGATATCAATCAGCTGTACGCTGTGATATCCGGCGTATTGTGTTCCAAATGGCGATCTGTCTGTATTATTATTATTGTTGTTGTTGTTTTGTTGTTGTTGTTGTTTTATTTTCCATTGACATTGTTATTATTTCTTGACTGGCAGAAAATTGCAGAGAGATCCAAGGCTCTGTTTCCAGTAAGGCAGAAGAGTAAAAAGCAGGTAAGCGGACTTTTTTTTTAAAGAAGAATAATTCCCTCTCGATTCCGTTGTACAAAGTTTTATATGATTCAAAACGTTTGGGTTTCTTTCGCTCTTTCCCTGCGAAGGGACTGTCGGCTTTTTCTCACAATTCTCCCCCGATCAAAGCCTAAAATATCAGATAGTGTAAATCAGGGGTCGTCCAACTTGGCAACTTTTAAGACCTGTGGACTTCAACTCTTATTTCAACTTCTCCCCTCAAGATGGCGCTATAGGGCATAGCACGCCAAAACAACTAGAGCCAAGGACAGTTTTTTTCCCCATGCCATCACTCTGCTAAACAACTAATTCCCACCACACTGTCAAACTATCTAGTAGGGCTGTATTACTATTATCCTTCTCATTCTTCCTATTAGCTATTTCTTTATTTTCTGATGACTATAGCTTTATCGCTTGTATCTTACGATTTATATTGTTTTATTTAGTATCCTGGTATGATCTATGTTGATTGCTTCTTTCGTATCCTATGAGTGAGTGTAGTATCTTATGATTTATGATGAATGTTGTTTTTTAGGATTGTAATCATGATTTATCAACTTGTTGCTTGTATGTACACTGAGAGCTTCTGTAGTGGAGACAAATTCCACGTGGGTCCAATCATTCTTGATCATTAAAGAATTCTATAATTCTATAAAAGAAGAGGAACATTGAGGGGGGGGTATCTTCGAAGAACTACAGTTTGTTAATACAATACAACAAAATGGCATTTGTGGAATTCAGCAGCAATGGATGTGCGGTGTGTATGTGTTTGCGTGCATGGAGCCGATAACCACTTTGTTTGATCATTCGTTTGTTTGTTTACCTGTTTGATATTTATCCTACTTTTATTGCTATATAAAAATTCATGGGGGTAAACATTTATAATACTTCTTCCCCTCCTCCTTTTCCTAACCTTTTGAGAGGGGTTAGGTTGAGAGAAACTGGGCCAAAGTCAACTAGCTGACTTTCATGCCTAAGGCAGGATTGGAACTCAGCATCTCCAGGCGATTGGCCCAAAGTCACCCAGTCGGCTTTCATGCCTAAGTGTAGGAGATGACTTGATGCTAAGACAGGACTAGAACCCACCATCTCCAGGTGATTGGCCCAAAGTCACCCAGTTGGCTTTCATGCCTAAGTGTAGGAGATGACTTGATGCTAAGGCGGGACTAGAATTCACAGTCTCCTGGTGATTAGCCCAAAGTCACCCAGCTGGCTTTCACACCTAAGGCAGGACTAGAACCCATCATCTCCAGGTGATTGGCCCAAAGTCACCCAGTTGGCTTTCATGCCTAAGTGTAGGAGATGACCTGATGCTAAGGCGGGACTAGAATTCACAGTCTCCTGGTGATTAGCCCAAAGCCACCCAGCTGGCTTTCACGCCTAAGGCAGGACTAGAACCCACCATCTCCAGGTGATTGGCCCAAAGTCACCCAGGTTGCTTTCACGCCTAAGGCAGGACTAGAACCCACCATCTCCAGGTGATTGGCCCAAAGTCACCCAGTTGGCTTTCATGCCTAAGTGTAGGAGATGACCTGATGCTAAGGCGGGACTAGAATTCACAGTCTCCTGGTGATTAGCCCAAAGTCACCCAGCTGGCTTTCACACCTAAGGCAGGACTAGAACCCATCATCTCCAGGTGATTGGCCCAAAGTCACCCAGTTGGCTTTCATGCCTAAGTGTAGGAGATGACCTGATGCTAAGGTGGGACTAGAATTCACAGTCTCCTGGTGATTAGCCCAAAGTCAGCCAGTTGGCTTTCACGCCTAAGGCAGGACTAGAAGTCACCATCTCCAGACGACTGGATGAAAGTCACCCACGTTGTTTCACGCCGCTAAACTGCACCACTGCATCAAATTTGCTCACCTCTTCCTGCGACCGTTATTTTTTTTCCTGTTTACATCACTTCTACGAAGCTCAGAGCGAGCGTGTGCTGACCCTCAGCTTCAATTCACCATTTAAAAAAATAACAATAAAAATAACAATAAAAAGTTTGCATAGATTACTCTTTCATGCTATTTAACCTGTTCAAATAAAGCCCCGCCAGAGATAAACTCGGCTAAGTGCTCTCAGAACACCATTTGAATCCTAATTAAATATAGCTCAGGAAAATGTGCAGAAGAGAAAAAATAGCAATTTGGAAGCTGAAGGAGCCTTCTGTTCTGTTGAAGGCCTTCGTGCGAGGTGGTCGGTGAGTAAAAAGGCTTTTGGTAGAAGTCTGGAGCACGGACACAAAAGCTCAGCGGAGGCCAAATTGCTCTTTTTAATTTCTTTGGAAAAGGGGAGAGCATGTATCTTTCGTGTTTTGGGCCGTAGGGCGGCAATTTTGTTCCCAGCCGTCAGAAGGTCTCCCAATTTCAAATTGGCTGCTGGTTCTCGCTTCTTGGTCTCAGGTTTCTGATTCCCAGCCCACACATACCCACCTTTTTAATGGCGCTCCTGGGATGGTGTTAAAGGCTGGTGTTTAACTCTTCAGGTAGAACACTAGCCAGTATGTGTGGTTAATGGACCATGCGGATTCTGGAAAGAAAGGGAAATGTTGCATTTAAGGAATGCTTGATACAGGCCTGAGGAGAATAGAATAGAACAGAACAGAACAGAACAGAACAAGGTCAGTGCCCTCCTAACCATAGCCAAGCACTCCAAATTTGTTGGCGATGTCCATTTTGCTCTCCGAGTTCATGGTGACCTAACCCTAACGCTAAGTGGAATTTCCTCCAATGGGTTTTCCCTGTATTTTACCAGGAAACATAGGTTATCGGCAGTGCGAGAAAAGTCAGTGTCCTCCTAACTATACCAAGCACTCCGAGTTTGTTGGTGATGTCCATTTTGCTCTATGAGTTCATGGTGACCTAACCCTAACCCTAAGTGGAATTTTCCTCCAATGGGATTTTTCCCGATATATTTTTACCAGAAACATAGATGGGGATAGGCTAGAAAGTCAGATATCGTCCATCCTAACCATACAAAGCCCAAACTCCACAAATTGGTTGGGCGTGAGTGTCCATTTTTCTCTATGAATTCATGGTGATCTATATACGCCTAACCCTAAGTGGGAATTTTTCCTCCATGGGGATTTTCCCATGTCATTTTACCAGGAACATTGATGGGGCGATGGCTAGGAAAGTCAGTATACTCTCTCCCCGCGTAACCAAACACTCCCAACTGTTGGCAATGTCCATTTTTCTCTATGAGTTCATGTTGACCTATTTCTAGCTGAAGTGGAATTTTTCCTCCAATGGGATTTCCCATGTATTTTGACCAGGAAACATAGATAGGGCAGGCTAGAAAGTCAGTGCCCTCCTTAACCATACCCGAGCACTCCAAATTTGTTGGCGATGTCCGATTTTGCTGTAAGAGTTCATGGTCTAGCTACCTAACCCTAACCCTAAGTGGAATTTTCCTCCAATGGGATTTTCCGGGAAACATTATGGGCAGCTAGAAAATAAGTGCCCCTCCTAATAAATATCCAAGTATCTCCCCGTTTTGTTTGGCGTGTCCATTTTGCTCTCTGATTTCAGGTGACCTAACCCTAAACCTAAGTGGAATTTCTTCTCCAATGGGATTTTCCCATGCATTTTTCTAGGAAAACATAGATAGGGCACCCAGAAAAGTCAGTGCCCTCCTAACCATACACAAGCACTCCAAATTTTGGCGATGTCCATTTTGCTCTAAGAGCTCCTGGGTGACCCTAACTCATGGTGACCTAACCCTAACCCTAATGGAAATTTTTCCTCCAATGAGATTTTTTCCATAGTACTTTACCAGGGAAACATAGATACGGGCATCTCTAGACAAGTCAGTGCCCTCCTAACCATTCATTTACAAAAGCACTCTGATGTTTGTTGATGATGTCCATTTCCCTTGGGGGGGGGGTCTATGATTCATTGGTTACAATAACCCTAACCTAAGTGGAATTTTCCTCCAGGGATTTTTCCCATATATTTTACCAGGAAACATAGATAGGGCATGGCTAGGAAAGTCGTGTCCTCTAACCATACAAAAGCACTCCAAATTGGTTTTGGCGATGTCCATTTTTCTTCTATGAATTCATGTGATCTAACCCTAACCCTAAGTGGAATTTTCCTCCAATGAGATTTTCCCATGTATTTTACCAGGAAACATAGGTAGGGCAGGCTAGGAAAGTCATACCCTTCTAACTATACCCAAAGCACTCCGAGTTTGTTGTGATGTCCATTTTGCTCTCTGAGTTCCGATGTTGACAGCTAACCCTAACCTAAGTTGGAATTTTTCCTCCATGGGATTTTCCCATGTATTATTTTACCAGGAAACATAGATAGGGCAGCCTGAAAGTCAGTGCCCTCCTAACCATTCCAAGCACTGTGAGTTTGTTGGTGATGTCCATTTTTCTCTATGAGTTCATGTTGACCTATTCCTAATCTGAAGTGGAATTTCCTCCAATGGATTTTTCCCATGTATTTTACCAGGAATACATAGGTAGGGCATCTAGGAAAGTCGTACCCTCTAACTATAACCAAGCACTCCGACTTTGTTGGTGATGTCGCATTTTGCTCTATTGAGTTCATGTGTGACCCTTACCCTAATCCCTAAGTTCAATTTTCGTCCAATGGGATTTTCCCCCATGCATTTTACTAGGAAACATTGAATACATGAAACCGTCAGTGCCTCCTAACCATACCAGTGCCTCCAAATTGGTGGCGATGTCCATTTTGCTCTAACGAATTCCATGGTGATCT